TTTTAGGGACCCCCATCTCCTCCTTTTTCTCTCTTTTGCTTCCTGGTGATGAGGTGAGTGATTTTGTTTTACCGCACACTGCTATGATGATGTGTTGCCTCACCAAAAGCAACATGGCATCAATCATGGACTGAAACCTCCAAACATATGAGCCCAAATACACTTTTTGAGCTGATTGTCTCCATTATTTTTATAGTGGCAGAAAGGTAACACAGTGTATTATATTATTTGGTGAATAATTTCATTATAATGAATAATTTCCATACTAAGCAATGACAAAACTTTTTAGAAAACCATCACTTGCTTTAGAAAGCATATACCTACTGAGGTTGTAACACTTAGGAGACAGAAAACCAGTGATAGCAGTAGGTGTTAAATTTTGTTGGCTGCATTTGAAAGAAATTCTAGAAAGACACAAGTTCAACAAAATGTTTTCCAGTATGTAAGCAGAAGTAAAAAGAAATCAAGATAATTTAGCATTCCCAGGACTTAAAAGTTAGAAAAGTTGGTTGCATGCAGACCCAAAGTAGTAATTGATATAAAAAACAACACTAACCTACCAAGAACCAACAGATTCCTGGACCTGACAAATGTATATAAGCTAACCAAAGTTTAAAGGAATTGGTAAATAAGTCATAAACCTTATCTAAAAGAAGAGAGTGATCTAAAATGCCTCAACTGCTGGGTAATTCTTAAAACAATTCTCAGTAAGAAAATGTGCTGTTAAAATTTGCAGCTTCCAATAGGGACTTCCGCAAAGTCCACTTTAAGTTGGACAAAGATCATAACACATAATGATGAATATCCTAAAGAGCTCAGGCAAAAGTGAATAAGGAGCAAAAATGCAAAGGGTCTCAATCCAGAGAACAGAATCAATGTCTAATCCACGAAAATGCCCTGCCCTTCACAGTGTCTGTCAGTGAACATAGAAGTTTCTGTATTCTCATTCTTGCCCTGTGCTGAATGGTAGCCTTGGTTGTCATTATGTTGTCTCCATAGTACACAGAGTGACATCTGGACACTATATAGAGGATTCCATATGATCTAAAGACTTTGAACCATGAGCTGGATGGAATTACTAGAAAATATTTTGGGGTCAGCCCTTCTGAAATAGAGTGAATGCACTGTACATGAGGGACAAGGGGAAACATGAATATTGGGTGACCTGAGTACATATGGTAATACATAGCAGAGTTCTCCTATATGCTCATCAGCTCATCAAACCCAATTCTTATAGCTAAACTCTATTTCCTTTTCTGTTAGTTGGGGCAATACAGTATGGGCAGGAATCACATGTGTCTTTTGTTGGATTGATTCATGTAAATTTCTGTTTTCTGTTGGTAGGAAACTTGGATATGACATGTTAAAGAAAATGGGCACTTGAATTGACTTTATAGTGCCCATCCATATCACCCATGGCACACATGGAATCTGACACAGCCATGGCCTATAAAAGTTGGTACAAAATACTTTGTATACTAGAGATGGTATATCAGGCCATATCCTGCATATTCAGGAAAAAACTGTACTCTGGAATCATTTGGATTTCCATTGCCTTTCTCCAAACATTTGCTAAGAGTAGGGGTAGTGAAGACACTGTTTTTCCATTTCCCTCCTCCTCCTTCTTCCACTTCCTCCTTCTCCTTCTCCTCCTCCTCCTTCTCTTTCTCTTCTCTTCTCCCCTTTTCTGTTTTCTCTCTCCCTCCTTCTGGGTGGCATTCAGTAGGAGAGAGAAAGAGACCTCCCTCCTTCCCTCCATCCCTCCATCCATCCTTCTCTCCCTCTCTCCCTCTCTCTCTCCTACTGAATGCCACCCAGAACAAGAAAGGGTTTCATTGCACATTCTTGTATAATAGGAACTGTGGCTGTTCCCTCTTCTCCCCTTTCCTATGTGCATTCAGCACCTCCTTCTCAGTTCTTAGGAAAAGAATGTTTAGAGGAGGGGAAATGTCCTTTCTTTAACTAAAAAATGCAGGGAGTGTTGTGAACTTGAATAATGAAAGCCAGAAGAAAATTGTTATCATCAGAGATATAATTACTGTGCAGCAATATTGCGCAATGTTGTTCAGGTTTGTGGTTTCAAGAACTCAGTGTAGGTAGGCTGTTACATCAGGCTAACTTGGGATAGAATCTTTGCTCTGGCATTTGCTAGCTCTGTGTCTTGCTGAGTCACTTTAAGCATGTTCATTCACCTTTAAAGTTTTGTTTTCACCTGAGAAAAGAGGATAAAAACAAAAAGTACCTTGCAAGGTTAATTTGAGAATTGAATATGATAGATGAATTTGGTTCTGAAAACTTCCTGGTTTAAAAAAGAAAAGCAACAAAAAATTATCCAGACCACTACAAACAAAGTAATCTGTGTTTGCAGTCAAGTGTGGTAAATATTTCTCCTCCCTCCACTCCACTACCTCTGTGTGAACTTGAAGGTAAACAGATCAACTCGTGGGCCACACTGAATTCAGCAAGGACTTGCTCCTGACTGCCAGCCTCTGTTCTTTGGCCTCCTTTACTGTTGCCAGTGACTCTGCTGCACCTTCAAAAGTCCATTCAGTTCCTACCCCTGCCTTTCACACCAAATCTAGATGCACTGGGCAATGGTTAATCTATTTACTTGCACTAATTAAACTGAACTGGAGTATTTATTGTTTTATCAAGCTTTTATATTGTACAGTAACTTTTGCCTTAATTGTGCAATGAATTTGAAGCAGAACATGACATGAAGTAATAGTACTAGCTCCAGGGCCATGGCTTTGCTGCCTACACAGAGCCACTGTGGGAAGGTCACCATGTCTCAGTAAACTTCAGGTTTATGGACGAACAATTGTTTCATGGTGATTTCTGAGAGCTCCTGGCTAGAAGAGCTATAATTTCTTCATCACCAGTAACTCCCAGGAGCAGGAACCATGACCCTTGGTATGATGGGTATCTCTCTAACCTTCCATTACCCCACCACCCCAACCAAAGACAGACTGATTCAGTCCTGTTTCCTCTATCCTTCATCTAATACTCCCTTTTACCAGTATGACTTCCTCATGCATGTTTCTGATAACTGTGACTTGTTAGGTATAAATTTAAAATATCACAGTAAGCTATAAAAATTCTACCACTCTGTGCTCCTCTGTTCTCAACCTTCAGAGAATGGTAATTTAGTATGCTGTGGTGGTATGGTCTCCAGTGAACTGTAACAGTTACTGGGAATTTTGTCTCATGTGATCAAAGAATGAAAGTCACAGACAACAGGATGAGCAAAAGAACAGAGTTTTATTTAAGCAGAGAGGAAAAGCTGAGTTTATTTAAGCAGAGAGAAAAAAATAGAAAAGCTCCAATATACATGGGAGGGGTTTCAGAAAGGCTGAGCCCTCAAGGCTCTCTGTCTAGAAGTTTTTTATAAGAGTTTTATTTCCTGGTGGAAGGCAAGCTGGTTGTGTCTTTGTGTGATTGATTTATTTAAGGGATGTACATCTGTGCCAGCCCATGGACATCACAAGGGCACCTGTGCAGGCTCCCTTTTCCTTCCCAGTGACCCTGAAATCCTGGGCACCAGCTGGATATCCAATAAGGGCCTAGTTCATGTGCTGTTCACATGCCTTAAGCAGTTAAAAGACTTGAATGGGTGGTTTCAAGATTTCCCATTCCTCCCACCTGTTTATCTCAACTCCCAGGCTTGCAGCAGTTTCAAGGTTTCTCACATTCTGTTCATCTCAAGGCCTCTTAGCCTCTCCACAGAGGGCCCCTGCCCTAGTCTTCCTGATCAGTCTTTAACTCCTAGCTTCCAGTCTCAGTATTACAACTTATTTTTTATGTATTCTGTATTTCTTCATAGACAATAAGTACAAATGCTAAATTTATTTCACATTCACCCAAATACAGCATGATATACACAGTTCTGTATCATGCCTGTTTTTCTTTTCTTATCCTTCTTTTAATACAATATAGGAGTGTCTTCGTTCTTTTATCCAGCTGAAGGATGTTCCTTTAGGTGAATACAGCTAAATTACCTCTAATTACAAGAATTCAGGTGGCTTCCTATATTTTGATATTATAAATAATGCTGTGGTGAGTAATATTATATCTAAGTCATTTCACCACCAAACAAGTATTTTATAAGATACATTTTCATGCCTAAAATGAATGGATCAAAGGCTATATACAACTGTAATTTTGGTATATATGAACAAATTGCCTCCATAGTGATTGTACCAACTTCCAGTATTCTGGCAAATTATACCAGCATCCTTTAACAATATCATCACAAGATTGCTTTCATTTTCTTCTTTTAAGTTTTTAATTTTATCATTTTTACATTTACTCACATGTGTATACATTGGCTTTTATCTTTCTAATAGGTTAGAATGGTATGTTATTTAGTTGTATTTATATTTTTATTATAATAAGTGAGATTGAAATTTTTTTCATGTGTGTGTGTGTGTGTGTGTGTCTGTTTTCTCTGCAAATTGTTCATGTACCTTGGTAATATTTCTGCTGTGTCTCCTGTAGCTTAAGTATTCAGCATATGGTGCTATTTTCAAATCTTACAGAACAAATTATTCCTAGTATTTCTCATTGCCTCTACCAATTTCTGCCAAATAAGGAAATCATTGGAATGAATGTTTTATGTTAAGGAAGGTATTATTACATTGGAAACATTTCATCATATTTACCAGCCAACTTCTATGAACATTTGTAAAACCAATTATGAAATATTAATGAGTTAATGAATTAAAAACATGGTCAATATACATAATAGTAAAAGACAGTTAATTATATATACATATATATTTATATATAATACATATATGCATATATACAAAACCAAAAGAACGCTGTTACTTTGTCCTCTACCAATTCTACTATGTTTTTAAAACCTTAGTTGGGAGGTTGGAGATGTAACTCAGTGGCAGAGCACTTGCCTTGTATTCACAAAGCCCTAGGTTTGATCCCTAGTACTATAGAAACCAAAACAAACAAAAAACCTATAGTTGTATTTTGCTCCACACTGTTCAAGGGTCTCTTTCCTCATTGCTCAGTCTTCCTGTGAATCTGAATACAAACAACAAACACCGAGTTATTTCTACCTGGACAATGATCCTGGCACAGATGCTGTATCCCTGGTTTTCTAAGTAGTCGTGGATCCTTCGGAAGTACGCTTTAACCTGTAATCTAAGGTTCTCACTTCCCAAGGCACCACTTTTCTGCTCAGGATAAAGTCTCATAAGTGCTTCTAGGTATGCCAGTTGTTGGTGAAGTTCAATGAGGAATTTCTCTATGTGGTTGTCCTTCAGATGGCCCAGAGAAGAATTTGCTTTGAAGAGGTTGAAGATCTGCTGAACCATCTCATGGAGAATGGCCAGTGCATGTTCTTTTTGATACCGGTGGGGAGTCACAGATTTCCAAGGAAGCAGGAAGTTCTTCCTATGTGGCAGACACTGCTGAATTGATAAGGTCTGCAAATTATTCAGTAGTTGTAATCTCTCTCTGTTCATTCTTGGTTGAAGGAGACCCTCTTTTAGCTCTGGGGAGAAGACAGTGGAAGAGGCCAGCAGCACCAACACAATTTCAAGGAACTGTTTGTGAATCATGGTGAAGGTCAAATATTCAAATACACCACTTATCTCTGTGGAGACCTAGTAAAACTCCAATTCTAGAGAGGGTTTGCCTTTTGTGCATCTCAGATTATTCTGGAGGGTGTTCTCTGTTGTTGGTTGTGTTTTCTTATGTTTGCATGTTAGGTTTCCTGATTCCCTTTTTAAGGTGTTCATGGAACATTTCCCCCACTCTCCCTATTGTGTTGGCTGTTTGAGGAAGTAACCAAAAGAACTTGTCTCACTGATTGCTTTTCTTGAGACAATTGCAAACTAGTTATCCAATCTGATTTCTAATACTCTCATTATTCATTACATACGAGGCTTCACTTAACACAATGTGCTTTCTAAATATTAGATCAAGCTTAGTAGAGTTTTTGTATTGAGAGTAAGCTTTATTTTAAAGCAGTAGTCTTTCATGGAATAATAGTTATTAGAGGATTTAGTAGTACCTATAAGACACTCAGAGGCAAAAATTAAAATCCATACAGAGTACTAAATTTAAAACCTCAACTAGAACTGTAAATTTGCAAAAATTAATATTAGAATCTGTCTCAGTAATCTTAGATTGTTTTATATCTTATCAAATCAGTTTAATGTATAAGGTTTTAGCCTATAGAAATAATCAAAAAAGAAAAAATTTGTAAAAGAAGGTTGTTATGACTTTTTTTAGTGGCAGAATATTAGAAACGACCAACATGTTTAACAACAAGAATGGTTAGATACATGTTGGTAACCCAATATAATGAGATATTATAAGACCACTGTAAAAGATAAAACATGTGAAGAGAGATTAGAGGCCTTGGGGTAGTCTATGTTCCATAGGGTAGCAATAACTATGGCAAACCAATGTTAACATTTTTACTTCAGTAATACCTTTTGAATTATAGATAACCAGTTCCATGTTCTAAGAGCTTCCTGAATAAGTTTCCAGTCTGCCTTCCCAATGTTACTTCCCAATGTTGCTCTAAATGTAGCTCAAAGGAATGTGAAATTCAGATGAAGTAAAAGAATTACCATTCCCTTAATATATCTACTGCTTATATGTGTATATGTGTGTTTATTGACAGTACTTTCTCTCTCTGAGAGGCCCTGTCTGTGAAAGGACTAAGGATGACCTGCCCAGCTAGAGCCCTGGTCTCCCTAGGAGCTACAAGCTCCACTTTGGATCACCATAGCACTTTTTGCTTCCTTGAAGATACCTTTCCTGTACTAACTTATTTACCACTCTTACAACCTCCTGAGAATAAAAGCCTCTTAAAATGTACAATAAACACTCATCCTTTTATTGTCTTAATAAATATGCTTAGATGCTTAAAAAATATGCATTGACTAGATTGAAACAATATGTCCTACCACAAAGTAATACAAGCTACTGAATCTTTGATTATTTCTCTGTTGGAAGTTGTTAGGTGAAAGCCTAAGTTTGAAAACACTTTGTAAACATGTGTGGTCTCACTGTATAGTAGCCCAGCTCTATGTTGATGTCACTTAGTTTGGCATCATTAAATTGAATCAACTGAATCAGCATAGCAGAGACAGAGGGATCAAGAGAGAGAGAGAGAGAGAAGACCTGTGATAAGTTATAATATACAAAAGGAATAACAATTGCTTCAATAACATTCTGCTTAATCTATGTGAACAAAAGAATTTTCCTGGTCTCTACATAAAGTTTTAAATCTTTAATGCAGAGATTTAGGGAAATGAATCAAGAAAATCTTAAGACTATCAGGAGTGACCCTATTGCATAGGACTGAGGTTTGATTTACAATCAACAGTTTGATAATTTATTTATTGTGTGTTCTTAACAATTAATGTCTAATTTTAATTGACTTATAATTCATTGTAGTTTAAATTTAATTCCTTTCAACACATATCTAATAAAAATTAAATATTAATTCATGTAACATAATGATCTCCAGTTCCATCCATACTGGATTTCCTTCTTCTATGTAAGGTTAAATAATATTCTATGGTGTATATGTACATTTTCTTTATCCATTCATCAGTTGTTGGACACTTAGGTTGTTTTCATTTCTTGGCTATTACAAATAGTGCTGCAGTAAACGTGGGGGTGCCAGTGTCTCGTCAACAAGCTGATTTCATTTCCCTTGGATATATACCCCAGGTGAGATTACGGAATCATGTGGTAGTTCTATTGTTAATTTTTTTTGAGGAACCTCCTGATGGTTTTTCATAATGATTATATTAATTACCAACAGCATGCAAGAATTTCCTTTCATTCAATTGACAATAATAATCTAAAGTTACTCTGATTTCTAAATACAATTTGGAAATTTTCCAGACATCTTTGTGTTATTGACTTCTAATTTGAGTATGTTGTGATTCTGTTGTGTTTTGACACTGAGAATTGAATCTAGGACCTCATGCACGCTAGGAAGCACTCTACCATGTAAGCCATGCCCCCTGCCCTTTTGTTTGTTGTTAGTTTTTGAGATAGGATCTTGCTAACTTTACTTGGGCTGGCTTCAAACCCTTGGGCAGGCTATCCTCCTACTTCCACTTTTTGAAGAACTGGAATTATAGATGTGAACCACCATGCCCAGCTCAATTGTATCAGTTTTTGATTCATGTGTTTAAAATTATCACTAGGTGCATTACACTTAGGTTTATTATATGCTGTTGGTGAATTGAGTCTATTTTGAAATGTTCATCATCCTTGGTAATATTCCTTATTCTGAAATGAACTTCAATATACGCTCATGCTTTATTGTCATAAATGTTTGCATGGTCTATCATTTCTGTGACTTATTGTTAACTTAGTCACATTTTTATATTTAAAGTGATTTTTTTGTATATAACATATATTTGGACCTATGTTTTATCTAATGTGACAATCTTTGCTTTTTAGAGTATTTAAGCCATTTATATTTAATATGATTGTTAATGTGGCTGAGTTTATACCTAAATTTTGCTGAGTATTTTCTCATTTTCTAAAATATATTCCTTTTCTCTCAATCAGTATTTACCTGCCCTCTAAAATTGAGTGGATTTTATTTTTGTTTTTGTCTATCCTACTTGATTTCCATTATAGAATTATTAGATATACCACTTTGATTTAGTTTTCATTTTTAGTAGTAATTTCTCTGTGGTTGAAAATAAACATTTTATATAGCATATTCTAGTTTACCTTCAATCATATTGCATAGCTCTTAAAGTATAGTGTAAGGTTATTATAACAGTATACTTCTGTCTCTTCCCTCTCATTTTTGTACTGTCATGTCATACAATCTTATGTTTTGAAACCCCAGGTACATTATTATATTTACCTACTCAATTATATATTTAAAAAGATTTTATGAGGAAATTTTTCTTTAATATTTACTCACATATTTGTCATTTGTTATTCTTACCATTATCACATTTTTCAGTAATGCAGTTACCATTTCTGCTACTCTTCATTTTTTGTTTGTGTGTGTGTAGATCTAGGTTTCTCTCTGGTATCATTTTCCTTCTTGAAAAACTTTGATATTTGTTGTGTGATAGGACTTCTGACAATGAACTCTTAGATTTGGTGGGCCTGACAGAGTATATTGCGTCCATTTTTTACATATATTTTTTCTAAGTTTAGAATTTTGAGTTGATTTTTTTCAGTACTGTAAAGATGTTGCTTCACTGTCTTTTAGCTTGCATCATTTCTACAGAGAGGACTGCTGCCATTCTTAATCTGATTCCTCTATGCATATATATCTTCTTTTTCTCTGACTGCTTTTAAAATTTCTTTCTTTGTCACTGTTTTTCAGCAATTTGATTATTGTGTTATTTCACTTTCTGTTACTATAACAAAATACCTGAGTCTGGGTGCATTAAAGAAAAGAAGTTTATTTAGCTCACAATTCTAGGGATTAAAAAGTAGGCACGTGCATCAGCTCTGCTCTGGTGAGGAATGCATGGTGGATGGCATTACAATGGTGGATTAAAGGAGAAAGGGAATGATCACAAGGTAAGCTAAGAAACCAGACAGCAAGGAGAACCCAGGCTTGCTTTATGTAACAACTCATTCTTACAGAACTGGGTTCCACTAGAACTACTTAAAGAACTTTTTAATACCTTCCAAGAGTAATGTCCCCAGTGACCCAAACACCTTGCTCAAGGAGCCTGCTCTTAAAGGCCCCACCACCTTTTACTAAACCACATCCAAACCATAGTAATTATGATATGCTTTCATGTAATTTTCTTTTTCTTTTTCCACATTTTTGTTAGTATATATTAATTGTACAGGGGCATTTCATTGTGACATTTATATGTGTGCTTACAATGTATCTTAATTAGATTCTTCCTCTCCATCATTCTCCCTCATCCCTCTTCCCCTCTCTTTTTGCCTATTTTATTGAAGTCTTTTAATCTGTCATTTTATCACTTTCATCAAATTTAGAAGAGCTTCAAACATTATTTTTATTAGCATATATTATTGTACAAAATAATGGGCTTCATTTGACAATTTCATGCATAGACATGAGTATTTTGATCAAATTCACCTCCTTACTGTCTTTACTTACCACCATTCCTTATCCTGATCCCCATCCTTTTTCCTAATAGTCTTCCTTCTACATCCATAATCCACCCTCGGGTTACACATATGAAAGAAAATGTGTGATACTTATATTTCAGAGACTGGTTTATTTTACTTAACATCATGATCTCCAGTTCCATCCATTTTTCTGCAAACAACATAATTTCATTCTTTTTTATTGCTAATACTCCATGGTATATATACCACATTTTCTTTACCTATTCATCCATGGGTGGGCAATCTGGCTGATTCAATGACTTGGTTTTTCTGACTAGTGCTTCAATAAATATGTTGTAGATATCTCTATTTTATGCTGACTTTGTTTCCTTTGGCTATATAACAAAGAGTGGTAAAGCAAGTGTGTATAGTAGCTAGATCATATGGTAATTCTATTTTTAGGTTTTTTTAAAAGAAACATCCATACTGATATCCTGTTGGTGAGAATGTGAATTAGTGCAGCCAC